CCCCCTCCTGCCCCCGCCCCGTCCCTCATTCGCCCCGCCCCCTCGTGCCCCCCGCTTCCCCGCGTTCCCCCTGCCCCTCCCCGTCCCCCCAGGTGCTGATGGGCCCGGGTCCTTCTGCGGGGGCAGTCCTGGCTGGACACGGACTTCGGGTGTTCCTGAGCTGGTCCAAGGGGGCCGAGGACGCCTCGCCGCTTCCAGTGGGTCTGGCCGGCTGCCGGGAACCCTGGAGGCAGAACAGACCCCCGATACCTGCGCGGGGTGGGTCGCAGCGTGGGGATCGGTCCGGGGGTCAGCCCCGCAGATGGATGCGAAGGGTCCCGCGCGCTTCTGGAACACGCTGGCCGCGCTCCCGAACCCGCTCGGGCGCCAGGTCAGGTCTGTGGATCGTTGAGAACATTTCTAGGGATTTGTTCTTCTACCCGCGGGCGGGATGCTCTCGGCGCTTAGGGAGAAACTGGATGAAGCAGGTGGTCCGAGGTCTGGGGCGGGTCCTCAGGCTCCCAGTGCCTCCCCCGCCCCCACGGCCGCGCGCAGCAGGTGCAGGGTCCGGCTCGCCATGTGGAAGATGCAAACCCGCCGCTTCGGAGCGTCCCCCGCCACCGAAGGGCAGAGTGACCCCTGAGGCCGAGCGGACTCCCGCTGTGAAACGATCCCGGCGGGACACCAGGCGCCACGTCACGTTACGGCGGCTTTCCGCGCACACACACCACGGGACGCCTTTCGGGAGCGAATTTAAACCTCAGAATGTAACGTCAAGCTTTCTGCACAAAAACGCTTTCACAAGGAAGGTTGTCCATTTTTCTAGGGTAGAGTAAGGAGGGGTACGGGTTTTCAACGGGGCGAAATGTTACCGTATAAAACAGGTGGAAGCGGGTGGCGATGGAAGCCGAGAGTGGATTGGCGTCTCTACAAGTTATATGCACTTTCTCAGTCACCTCCTCGTATCGCTCATGACACAGCTGAGACCCTAGGTGCAGAGGACTGCCTCCAAGCACGCTAGAACCCTGCTGCAAAGTCAGCTTCCACCTTGATTCTGAGGAGACTCACACTGAAAGTCTGGCCACTGTAGAGACAATATCATTATGAAACACACACAGAAACCATTACTTTTTAGTGAAAACTTTTTTTAAGGGAGTTTAGCTCTTGTTATCCAGGCTGGAGTGCAATGGCGCGATCCTGGCTCACTGTAACCTCTGCCTCTGGGTTCAAGCAATTCTCCTGCCTCAGCCTCCCGAGTAGCTGGGACTACAGGCGGGTACCACCTTGCCCGGCTACTTTTGTATTTTTAGTAGAGACGGGGTTTCTCCATATTGGCCAGGCTGGTCTCAAACTCCTGGCCTCAAGTGATCTGCCCACCTCAGCCTCCCAAAATTCTGGGATTACAGGCATGAGCCATCACCCACCCTTGGTGAAAACATTTCAAGCTACTCATATCATATATATTAAGTTACTCGGTATCTTTTAAAATCCTGTAAATGGGTTACAATGTTTTATCATCTCATCCAAATTCTATTTGAAAAGTCCATGCATTGAGTTCGTAGATTACGAACTATTGAAAAAGCATGAGATTCCTACACTCCGACACTTTCAAAATTATGAAAACTAAAGGAATATGCTGGGCATGGTGGCTCACACTTGTAATCCCAGCATTTTGGGAGGCCAAAGTGGGAGGATCACCTGAAGTTGGGAGTTCGGGACCAGCCTGGCCAACATCGGGAAACCCTGACTACCAAAAATACAAGATTGAGCCAGGTGTGGTAGACGGCACGTGTAATCCCAGCTACTCAGGAGGCTGAGGCAGGAGAATCACTTGAACCCGGGAGGCAAAGGTCGCAATTGGCCAAGATCACACCACTGCACTCCAGCCTAGGTGACAGAGCAAGACTCCCTCTCATAAAAAAGAAACGTGAAGGGGCTATCAGCATTTACATGCTATGACAGCCAAAGGACAAGGCACTTGTGAGCAGGCAATTTGGCGGACTACAAATATTAGCATACTTAACTTTGGTATACGTGGTGGAGGTCTGATATAAAGAGGAGGTTTGTTCCGTATTTTGCTTTTCTGATTTTACAGGAAAGCACTTTCCACTGGAGTGTGTCCAAACCAGCATCTGGCACGTGGGGAATGCACATGAAATATAAATAAAATTTAGAGAATTGTGGATGCAGCAGGCCTTGGTTGGAAGCCAAATATCGCAGCTGCCTTTTAAAGGGGTGTGGAAAGAGGGGATTTGCAATGGAAATGGTCCCCAAATCATAATTCTAGTGGGTGTTACAAGAAGCCCAAACAGAGTCATTTGGCATCCTGTGAGGAATTAGCCAGTGTCCTCTGGCTTACAGAAATCACTCTCTGTTTATGTGGTACACTTAAGGAGAATGTCCCTACTGGTGTTTAGCTAGTGACGGTACATGAATTGACTTGGCTATTATGAAAATTATTGTTTCAAAATATGTATGAATGGCCAGGGGCGAAGGCTCACGCCTGTAATCCCAGCACTTTGGAAGGCCAAGGCAGGTAGATCGCCTGAGGTCAGGAGTAAGACCAGCCTGATCAACATGGAGAAACCCCATCTGTACTTAAAATACAAAAAAATTAGCCAGGCATGGTGGCACCTACTTGTAATCCTAGCTACTCAGGAGACTGAGGCAGGAGAATCGCTTAAACCTGGGAGGCAGAGCTTGCAGTGAGCCATGATTGTGCCATTGCACTCCAGCCTGGGCAACAAAGCAAGACTCTGTCTCAAATACGTGCGCGCGCGCGCGCACACACACACACACACACACACACGAATGAGCCTCAACATGTATTATACAGAACAGACATATTACAGAGTTTTCTCTTCAGGAATTGCATTCTAAGGCACATGATGTCATACAAAAGTCACATGGAATAAATATTTATCACTTTTAAGATGCATAAATCAGACCTTGGTCTTCACAAACAGTAACACCTGTGACTTGGGCTGGGTGTGGTGGCTCACGCCTGTAATCCAGCACTTTGGGAGGCCAGGTCAGGTGGATTGCTTGAGCTCAGGAGTTCGAGACCAGCTGGGGAAACATGGCAAAACCCTATATCTACTAAAAATTGGTTGGATGTGGTGGCACGCACCTGTGATCCCAGCTACTCAAGAGGCTGAAGTGGGAGGATAAACTGAGCCCAGGAGGTTGAGGCTTTCGGTGAGCGTGATTGTGCCACTGCACTCCAGCTTGGGTGACAGAGCATGACCCTGTCTCAAAAACAACAAATATTAGCTGTTGTGGTGGTATATGCCTGCAGTCCTAGCTACTTAGGAGGCTGAGGTGGGAGGATTGATTGAGCCCAGGAGGTTGAGGCTGCAGTCGGCTATGACTGCACCACTGCTCTCCAGCCTGGGCAACAGAGAAAGACCCCCCTTCACAAAAAAAAAACGGAAAAAAAAAAGCATTCGTAACTCATGGGAGAAGGTCAAAATATCAACATTAACAGGAGTTTGGAAGAAGATGATTCCAACTGTCACATGTCTTCCGTGAAGGAAGAAAGCACAGATGTGGGCCAGGCACGATGGCTCATGCCTGTAAGCCCAGCTACTCGGGAGGCTGAGGCAGGAGAATGGCTTGAACCCTGGCAGTGAGCTGAGATTGTGCCATTGCACTCCAGCCTGGGCAACGAGAGCGAAACTCCATCTCAAAAAAAAAAAAAAAAAAAAAAAAAAAAAGGCCGGGCGCGGTGGCTCAAGCCTGTAATCCCAGCACTTTGGGAGGCCGAGGCGGGTGGATCACGAGGTCAAGAGATCGAGACCATCCTGGTCAACACGGTGAAACCCCGTCTCTACTAAACTACAAAAAATTAGCTGGGCATGGTGGCGCGTGCCTGTAATCCCAGCTACTCAGGAGGCTGAGGCAGGAGAATTGCCTGAACCCAGGAGGCGGAGGTTGCGGTGAGCCAAGATCGCGCCATTGCACTCCAGCCTGGGTAACATGAGTGAAACTCCATCTCAAAAAAAAAAAAAAAAAAAAAGTGCAGACGTGGTAGAAACAATGAGCGAACTAGGGTTAGAGGTGGAGCCTGAAGGTGTGGCCGAGACTGCTGCAATCCCATGATCAAACTGGAACCCATGAGGACTTGCTTCCTGTAGCAGCGCAGAGGCAGTGCTTTCCTGAGATGGGTTCTGTTCCTTGGGAAGATGCTGTGAACATTGTTGAAATGACAGCAAAGGACTTAGAACATTACATCAACTAAGTTGTGACTCCAAATTTTGAAAAAAGTCCCACTGTTGTTACCAAACAACATCACACACTACAGATAAATCTTTCATGAAAGTGAGAGCCAGTGGATTTGGCACACTTCAGTGCTGTCGGATTTCTTTTCTTTTTCTTTCATTGAGATAGAGTCTTGCTCTGTTGCCAGGTGCCAGGATGGAGTGCAGGGCTACACCACGTTGGTCAGGCTGGTCTGGAACTCCTGACCCCAGGTGATCCGCCCACCTGGCCTCCAAGTAGCTGGGATTACAGGCGTGTACCATCACG